AGGAAAGGAAAGGAAAGGAAAGGAAAGGAAAGGAAAGGAAAGGAAAGAACCGTGGGAAGAAAGCTCGCAAAACTCACTTAACAACTCAACTAACTTAGCAACTGATTATCCTGGGCTCAATTGTGGTCGTTAAGCTGAGGACTAATTAAAATGCATAAGGGAAAGGAAAGCAGTGGGTGGGCCCTTAGTTTGCAAGCACCCCACCCTGTTATAAAAATAGTTTCAGGTAAGACAAATCTCACTTACTATGCTGACGCCAATGCTGTAGGCTAGTAGTAGAAAGAGAAGAGGGTAGTTGATTGTGTTCTTGTGTTTGAAGCATTCGTACCTGAAACAAACACGAATGAGAAAGATCAAGGATGAAAAAGATAAGACAAAATAAATCCTTGAACACACAATTTGTCCTCGGGCTTTCGAACAGGAGCTTTGCGGGGACACCAGGAGCAACAAAACCCGTTGGTGCAGTTTTTAAAATTCCGTGGAGTGTAGGATTCCAAAGAGGAAAAGGATCTCGTTTGTAAGTTCCTGCCGATGAGGAATTATTATTATTATTATTCATTCATTAAATGTATACGCCGCCCATCTCATGGTTTGAAGTAGCTCTGGGAGGGTTACATTATCATAAAATGTAGGCATATAAAATGAAGTTACAGTTACCAACAATTATACACTTGTGGGAAGCGGGTGAGATTCTACTTAGTTCTAGAATTCTGCAGAAAAGCTGATAATTTTCAAAGCCATGGTAACACGGGAGGGAAAAAAAAAAATACAGGCTGCACCTTTTCCAAATGAAGGGGATCTGAAAGAGGAATAATTATTCTGTTTTGTTTTCAGCTTTAGCAAACCTGAATTGCAAACTTGTCAAACTTGTTTCGATCAGAGGCATACCCTATTTTAGTCACTCTTAAAAGAATAACTCTTTCTACTCATAACGAAAGAATTTGTTTGTGCTTTTTAACACCCTCCTCTAAAATTAGATCCACTTATAATAAAAAGCAAGAGGCGTGCGTAAGAACAAAATTGTTTCACATTAGCAGAAGTGCCACCTTATGAGGAAATTCTCCCTCCCCACCACCCTCCCATGTTAACCAGTGTTATATAAAAGGAGACCGTGACAGTTGTTGTACATTTTAAAGACAGAGAAAAAAAATTAGAAAAACCAAACATCCAAAGCACATTATGAGCTTTGCAGCTCCATCGAATTGTCACAAGAGCACCGATTTTAACAACGTTTTGGTTGGTAAGTTGAGTACCAAAGAAACTCAGAATCAGCTTCTTGGGAGGAAAAGTTGTTGCAACAGGTTGAAAGAAAAAAGACTTGAGTTTGTTTGAGAGTTACTGGAAAAAAAATAGGATGTCAAGCATGGATGCTAATTTCTCTCACAGAATTACTACTGTCTAGCATCAACATTCAATCCTCTAGCCACTTTTCTTAGCAGGAAAATTCAACCTTTGAAAATGTGAAGGCTAAAAATTATAAAAAAATAACCGAGTGAAAATAGGTTTTGTGCACAGAACTTGATTTCTTTTATTGACATACAAGTTACATTTTCTGTAGTTTCCAAGAATCCCCACTGCCTTGCCTAAAACTAGGCGCCAGGCTAGAAACCAGGAGAGGGTGAATTCTAGTTCTACCTTAGGCGTGAAAGCCGGCTGGGTGATTTTGGGTCAATCACTAGGAGATGGTGAGTTGTAGTTCCATGAAAATCCTGCCGTGAAAGCCGGCTGGGTGACTTTGAGCCAAACACCAGGAGACGGTGAGTTCTAGTCCCTCCCTGCAGATTCAGTGCTGTATCTCCAATAGCTATTTCAACCCTCATTATCTATGTGAGTGAGGTCAATTTTAAGCCTGCGAGCAACTCTTGTTAATCAGTTGTTGAATTTATATGGCTGCCTATTCGCCCATGGCGACTTGAGGCAGCTTACAGAATGTAAAACCACATTTAAAACAATAAAGAAAACAAAAAGTATCAAATGAATTAATAAAGTGCAATGTAACAAAATCACCCAACTCCCACCCACCCCGCCCCGACGACAGCAGATCCCATGAGCCATTTGATGGGCTCCATCCCGCTCTGGGTTCCCCAGGCCCGCTGGCAGAACCAGGTCTTCAGCGCCTCCCAGAGCAGTGTCAGAGTGGGGGCCATTTTAATCTCTGAGGGAATGATATTCTAGAGACAGGGAGCCACCATGGAGAAGGCCCTTCTTCTGGGTCTCCCTCAGGGATGGGACCCACGGCCTTCCCTGCCTCCCTGTTCTGATGGGTCAGGTAGATGTGACCGGCAAGAGACGGTCCCTCGGATAACCTGCTCCGAGGCCTTGAAGGGCTTTAAAGGGGACAACCAGCACACCTTGAATTGCACCTGGAAGCAAATCCGCAACCCATGCAGAGAAAGAGAAACTGATGACAGATACTTACAAGCAGTAGACAAAAACGCAACAACTGTAGATCATGGGCAGCTCGTCCAACAGCTGCAAAAAAAAACAGAACAAAAAGATTATGGACGCTCACAGAAAAGACTCAAAGAAAGATGGCAGCCCCAAGTCAAAATGCATGAAGTATTCGGTCGGAGCAAGGCAGCTTTTAGTGAAAAGGGTCAACATTATTATTCATTTATTTTTTGAGGGGGGAGGCTAAGAACTGCAACGAAGAAGATGCAAAGGACATGGACCCAAAGTTCTCCATACTTTAAATTGGAGGGTGGTGGTATAAGGGAGTTAATATTATTCTTTAAAATTCAGTGAAGCTATTTTACCACAACGGTTGTGTGTTCTTCCCTTAGAACTGTGAGAAGCTCTGCCCCTGGGATTTGACAATTGTGTCCCTAAGATTTGGCACTTGGCTGGGGTAGGGGAAACACTTCGGACTGCATGCCGTGTTGGGACAATGGTGTAACTACCGTACGGGCAACAACATCGTAACCATTTTGATAGACGCTCTGGCCATTCTCTGGTGCAGCTTCAACTTAAAACAGTTCAAAGTCACAACGGTGCTGAAAAAAAGTGACTTAACAATGGGTCCTCACACTTATGACCATTGCACCATCTCCATGGTCACGCCCTCAGCATGCAGTTGTGAGGATTACAGCATGCCAGGGTCATGTGATCGTCACTTGTGACCTTCCCAGCCGGCTTCGGATAGTATTTGAATTATCCACAGCATGGTTGTTATTGGGGTATTTGGTCACTAGGAGTTGAAAACGATAACACATAAGCCACAGCAAAAAAATGTCAGCTCATAAAATATTTCTGTGGTCTTTTTAGAGTTGCCAACAGAAAGGGAGGAGAGGGAGCAATGCAGCAGCTTGCAAAACCGAAAGTGCATTCCATAAATGTTTTCAAAGATAGTAACTAGGCGAGACTGAAGTTTCTGCCACTGCAAAATTCTAACTGAAGAGCATGACGGATGACTTTGGGCTATGGAGGTGTCCCATTGGAGAATATGAATTACGATACACCCAGAAGGGTGGGGGGAAAACCAGGGTCAAGGGTGACAAATGATTGATGTGTCTCAGAGTCGGCTCCACCCAGGCAGTGCTGGACATGTTAACTCCCAATAAATCCTTTTGAAGTTTTTGGAAGTTTGGCTCAAGACTCAGGATTCAAATGGGGGTAACTGTCGGAATCCTGACACTATGAATGCACCCTTCCCCCCCCCCCCCCCACCTATCAACCAGGAAAGCAAAAAGGATCTGGGCAAGGGACACAAAACGTGCACGACCCTTTTTCCAAGGGCTACTAACCTGCATTTCATACTTCAGTGTCATGTGGAAGCACCAGGAGCCCAGGCCCACGGCTGAAACCCAAATCAGAAAGGATTATGAGAAGAATGCCGAGGAGGAGACAGAATTGCTTCTTCCTGCCGGTCCAGCTTTTGATATATATTGACACTTTTTTCTTTTTCCGGTGGATTTATTAGGAAATGTATATGCCTCCCCACTCACCCCTAAGGTGACTCTGGGTGGTTTACAAGCATTAAAAAGATACATGCAGGTAGTCCTCGGTGTGCAACCATTCAAAGTTAACAGCAACCCCCCCAGAAAAGTGATTTATAACCGGTTTTCATGCACACGGCCTCATAAGTAGAGGAGTACCTATAGGCTGATTTAGCGGGCGCACACCAAACTGGTTTTTACACCGGTTGAATTCCACCACTGGATGGATGGATGGACGGACGGAGAGACAATAGATGAATGGATGCATAGATGGATAGATGGACAGTTGGATGGACAGATGTAGATAGAGAAAGATATAAATGATAAATGACAGATATAGATGATAAATAGATCAATATACGGGGAGAGATAAGACAGACAGTTGAAAGAGATGGATGGACGGACGGATGGACAGATGCAGATAGATATAAATGACAGATGATAGATGATAAATAAACAGAGAGAGACGGATGGACAACAGATGTAGATATAGATAGATAGGTAGGTAAATAGAGACAGACAGACAGTTGGGATAGAGATAGATAGATAGATAGATAGATAGATAGATAGATAGATAGATAGA